TGGTGGATTAGATGCTTCTTTTCTGATACCACTTTCAACAAACCCCCCCCCTTTCAAAAGCACTCACCCAGCCCCTCACCCCCTCACCACCCCCCACTCTCTCCATTATTTTTCTCTTCTTTTTTTTGGGCTTCGTAATCCGAAAGATTGAAAAGAAATAAAGGGACGCCCTTTCTTTTCTTTTTCTCCAAGACAAGGCGTGCCGTGCCATGCATTTTTTTTTTTTTTTTTTTTTTTTTTTTTTTTTTTTTTTTTTTTTTTTTTTTTTTTTTTTTTTTTTTTTTTTTTTTTTTTACTATATCCATTTGTATTGGGCATTACACCCTCTATTAATTATTATTTTAATCAACAATATTATTATATTATGAATCCATACCCCAACAGCATCCCCTAATTAAGCATGGTTCTATGTAAGTGCCACTCAACCACTCTTACTATATAAGGGATACTCTTAATCTCAACTGGGTATTTTTATTAATTATATATATTATATATATATATATATATATTTGTCCTTTAATTAAATAATAATCATTTATTTTTGCAGAGAGGGTGGACCATGGAGCCCAAATATTGTTGGGGTTTTCTTTTTCTTTTTCTTTTTCTTTTTCTTTTTCAATTTCTTGAGTTTCAGTTGTCAATTCAAAGTTTTAATCAGCTTTGTGTAAAGTTCCCTTTAGAGTACTCTTTTTCGCTGGTTTTCTCTCCATAATTTGACTACAATTCAAACCCCATTCATATTCCTTTGCTGTATGGCATTTTCGGAAATAATTGTGTTTTCAAACCCTCTTCCAATTTTTTTTTTAATTTTAAAAATATATATTTTGTCTCCAAATGCTATTTATTTAGTAGATATGTAATCTCTTAGCTCGTAATAGCTCGTAAATTACTATATTTATTCGACACAAAATTAATAGTTGCACAATATAAAGTAGTTCATATACTCACACATGCCTGTCCGTACAAAATATGGACCATTCTTTATTGCAGCTTTTTTAAAAATTAGTTTTAAATAAAATGAAACATTAAAAAAAAAAAAATTAATCATTTGATTAGTTAGAAAAATGTTAAAGCTTAGGTTATATCGGGTTGAAAAGTTTAATATTTTATTATTGAGTTATATTCACGTTAATAATATTATATAGAAAAGTAATAGAATGAATAATTAAAATAAAGGGGTAGATGGTTATCCTTATTTGGGAATTTTGATGACCAATAAAATGGAACTCCAATTTTATTTGAAGTTAATGGTGTCACACCAAATCATACAAAAATATATATAATGACAAGTGGTAAGTTCAGTAGCTACACAACCGACCAAATCTGTCCAAACACTTTGTTCTTTATTTGGATTTGTACATTCCAACAGACAAACAAAGCCAGCCAAATTTTAACATATATCAACACCTAAATCAACTTTTTTGTTGCAAATTTGTGTTCAAAATCCTTTAGTTTTATTTATTTATTATTACTAAAAAAATAAAATAAACATATTTTTGGGCCACGGCCCATACCGCCAGTGCAATATGTTTGGGCCTTGCTATCAAATCCTTCTAAATTGGGCCATGATCTTCAAAGCCCATTAAATTTTGTGGGCTTTGATCGAAGTTTCGGTACGGGTCCTTCCTATTGGACTACCCGAATCAAATTCAAGCATTTCAATTGCAACTTAACATAAATAAATATTTTAATTTTTTATTAAAAAAAATTAATGGATTTATAAATGGTCAATTTTTTTCATTATTCAAATTTAGTTTTAGGAATTTTTTTTCATTTAATTAGTTATTTTTTTTAATATTATTTTGAATTAAAACTTACAAAACGCTAGCAATTATTTTGAAAGGGATTGCAAAAAGGGTCATATGTGAAAGCAATTAAATAAAAAGTAAACTATTTTTCCTTTTTAAAAAGAGGTTTGAGCATATCTTGATTTTTTTTTCTTTTAATTTACAAAAATAAAGTAATTTTGGAACGCGTCTCATAACCAAATTCTCACTTAAATATTTAGATTACTATTTTCAAATTTGTAAATTAAAATATCAGTTCTTAATTCGTATAGCTATAATTTCCTGAATTTAGTGATAAAAACTTTGAAAATAAATATGTATTATTATATTTTTAAAATTGTGCCACGTAATAATTACCAATTTAATGCATTATCCACACACTCGTCAATTTATGAGCTTTTTGTTTTGTTTTGTTTTTGTGTGAAACAAACAAAAGCAAAAGATAATTCCACACACGTTTGCAAGTTAAAAAAGCACTCTCAAATTCTCACCCTGACGAACTACATTAAATTGGACACCTCCTAAATTAATATTACTTTTAATCTTTTTATTTTTCTTTTTTCTTTTCGCGGTGGCAGTGTATGCCACGTCATTTTAAATTACTCTTTTAATTTGCTAATTAAAGAAAATTCCATAGCCATGATTGGACCGAAAACAACCATTTTCTTTTTCTTTTTCTCTTTAAATTTCTAAATAGAAATTTATCTTGAATGAAGTATTAACCTACACCGTGCACCACCGGATCGCTGCTCCGCGGAAATGTATTTGAACCTTCGAAAATGCCATGTCACTAATTAAAAAGGATGGATATAAAAACCAAATTGCATGCTGCTTCTTTGCAGATCCCTAGGCGCGTATACGTTTCTTGGGAGGAGAGCTTTTTAACTAAACGCCCTAATTTGTTACTTAATTTCGAAATTGCCATTCTAAGAAACCGCGTCAAACCAAACCCCTGATTTTGTCGCTTACACTCATCTTCTTCCCCACCGTCAATTCACGACTCATCCTTTATACGCTGTCGTTTTGCATTGCATTCAGTTGGGTCCGACGACTCTTTTTATTATTTCTCGTTTCCAATTTGGAAATTATTCTTTGTTTTCTCCATTTACCATGAACATAATAGTATTTTTTGTAAACGCGTTCTACTTGCTTGGTTGCTAAACAAACAATATCGGAGTAAGTTTAAACAGTTATAAATGGTACAGAGCAAGACACCTATGACAGCAAAGATGTTGGAGAAGTAGATGGGAGGTTACATGTCAATTGGAGAAAGAAAGAGTGTTAGCATCAATTGAACCTTAAAAATATACCTTTTTACCAGAGTATGAAAATCTTTTAAAAAATGAAGAGCTCAAAATTAGCGGTGGACCTGAGTTGTTAGATATATATTTTTCCATAATGTATGATATAAAATGTTGCATAAATATTAAAAAAAAGATACAACATAATAATTTTAAGTTAACCCTGTTGGATGATGAAAGTCCCACATCGGCTAATTTAGGGAATGATCATGGGTTTATAAGTGAGGAATACTAACTCCATTGGTATGAGGCCTTTTGGGAAGCCCAAAGCAAAGCCATGAGAGCTTATGCTCAAAGTGGACAATATCATACCATTGTGGAGAGTCGTGTTCGTCTAACATGGTATCAGAGCCATGCCCTAAACTTAGCCGTGTCAATAGATTGGCAAATTCTTAAATGTCGAACAAAGGACTCCAAAAGGAGTCAAGCCTCCTCGAAGGTACGAAGGCAGTCAAAAATGACTAAGACTCCAAAGGAGTCGAGCCTCGATTAAGGGGAGGCGTGCTTTGTTCGAGGGGAGGTGTTGGATGATGAAAGTCCCACATCGGTTAATTGGATGATGAAAGTCCCACATCGGTTAATTTAGGGAATGGTCATCGGTTTATAATCTAAGAATACACTCTCCATTGGTATGAGGCCTTTTGGGAAGCCCAAACACTTATGCTCAAAGTGAAAGTGGACAATATCATATAACAAACCCTCCCAAATAATCTAAATTTGGAAAGCGGCTTTTGAAGAACATATCAAACTTGATGAGATTAAATTAGTAAAGTAGGTGTTTTTAAAATCTTTGATTGAAGACCACCACTAAAAGAATAAACATTTAAAACCCAAAGTCTACAAGTTTAATAATTTAAATTAAACTATAGTTGTATTAATTTGAATGGTATCAATACAAGTCATTATCCCTCCAACATGATATATTATAAAAATAAATAATTAAACAAAAGTTAGTTGAGAATGAAGGGACATTTCACAAATGGTTAGTACAATTAACATATCTCCAACTTTATGAAATCAGAAGGCACTTGAATTCCAACCTCTTTGACCAAACTACTTTTTTTTCTTTGACTAACTATAATGTCTAAACCAAACAATAACTTAATACATGACAAAATTCAGACCATGCATAATAATAAAATAAGGTTTATAAAGAAAAATAAAAAAAAATAATAATAAGAGCCCTCATATCCAACTATTTTTTTTATGACATCAACTATAAGTCATACTTACGTAATAACATTATTATAAATTGCAATTATTTATTACTATATTTTTTTTGGTTGAAATAGTCCATCCATTCAAAAATACAAACTCAACAAAATTATAATAATATTACTTATATCTTATCCATAATTTATGCACATGTTGTCAAACAAAAAAAATCAAATATTAAAATCCACTAAAATTTGATGGATTATAATTCAAATTGATCTTATATTATATCAACTTTGAACTCGGAATTGCAAAAAAAAAAAAAAAAAAAAAAAAAAAAATCATGAAGGAGCCACGTGGGAGTTGAACATGAGGTCGTTGAAATAGGTCGGGAATTAATTATGGGAGTCAAGAAAAATAAAAAAATAAATAATATAATTATAATTAATTATCTTTGTATTTGTAAAAATAAATGTTGAATTTTGTCCGTTGAAATAAGGATGGGAGGAACTGGCAACAAAAGAAGGAAAAAAGTTTGGGGTAAGGCAAGGAAATATTTCTATTTAAGCAAGGGTACTTTCGTAATTACGTTAGTACGGTAGGGGTAGGCTTGATGAACCGCCATTTAAAAGACCGATGGGACTAGGCCGGTTTGTTTAGTTGTCATTGCTCTCGCCACATGTTCTTCAGACTTCGGTTTGCAAAACTTGCACAGCGAGCGTTTTGTGTTTGTGAGCCCTCTTCGATCAAAGTTACACAATTGTTTTTCTTCTGTCTTGGAATTCTTCTGTTTTCAACATTTTTACTGATTACTGGGCGGCCGGCGGGAGATTCTGGCCGTCGCCATCACTTTCAGCTCGGAGTTTGTTTTATTTTGTTTGATGAATATGGATAAATGTTTGGGGTTGGTGTTGATTTGTGAGTTTGACTTCTAATTTGGTGTACGGTGAGCTGTTTTTGATTAAGATCTTCTTCTTCTATTCGTCTTTGGTGTCGAAAGTGGATGAACTCTTCTTCTTCTCCTCTTGGATTTGTAAATTTACTCGTTCGTTGCGTTCTGGAGTTTATTGAAAACGCGTCATGTGTTTGCTTTCTTCCTTTTCCGAGTTTTTTTTTCTCGTTTGTTCATCATTTTTTAATTTTATAGAACGTGGTAGTTTCGAGGTTACCACCAATTGATGAGTATTTTTAGCCTTTTTGAGTCTGTGAAACTGAAATCACGAAATCAATTTTTTGGTTTTCTTCTAATTTACAGAACCAGCTTAACAAGTTATTTTTGTTTCCATTCCCTTGTTTAGTTTTCGTTTGAGCTGTGGCACTTTCTTGGAGAATTAAGCGTATGTTTTTTTTGGTATGATCATTGTCTATTATGTGAAGAGCTAGTTATTCGAGTGAAAAATCTCGCTACGATTATCCAAATATCTTTGTGATTGTTCGCTGTGGTAGTTGAAATGAAAGAGAGATTCTATCTTCTTTATGTTTTTAGTATTTCATTACTTTTCTCTAGTTTAGATCTTCTAATATATGCACCGAATTTTGTATTGGGACTCAATTTGAAGAACTTGTTCTGAGAACTTTTGAGTTTTTTTACCCAGTATTTTATATTCATGCATCTTTGATTGTGTAAGGTGTAATTTGTTTTAAGCATCTTATCAATTTGGAACCTGCAGTATTGAGTTTTTATCTGTTCACTGCAGAATTTGGGGATTCTGCGATTCGACGTCTTACCATAAAGAAAGCAATATGTTTTAACAACTGGTCTTTAAAGGTTTCTGAGACCTAAAATATCTGACTAGAAGTTCATAGAAACGTACAATACCAACCGCTAGTAGCGAAGATCTTCCGGCCGTGGGCTCATTTCTTACTAGATGCAAGCATCTCCGAATCGTCAGTCTTCATCTGTGATCCATGAGATGTATCACCAGTCTGTGCAAGGGATGGATTCTTTCTATTTATCTCATTTCCACGTCTTGGAAAACAATGCCTCTCCCGATGCAAGCAGTCAGGGAAACAGTGTTATTTCTTCTTCCTATAAGGATCAGTTCTTTACTCTCGAATCGTTCCCGGCTACTGCTTATCTGAGCGCCTGTAATTCCCCTTCTGCTGTTAGTGTTCTGTCTTCCAGGAGCCCCTTCTCACCTCAAGGGTCTCAAACTTGCTCTTCTGATCAACATCATTCCTTTGACAACACATGTGGATCGCCGCAAAGTGGATGCTCGGTAACTGATGATGATTATGAATTAAAGCACAAGCTGAAGGAATTAGAGATTTCTTTGTTGGGGCCAGAAACTGATATTGTGAATAGCTGCTACTGTTCTTTCAGGGGTGGGGAGAACCGAGATGCTTCAATGGCAAGGTGGAACTGGAATCAAATGATCGAAACAATTCCTAGACTAAGTCTTCGAGACACACTTATCCGGTGTGCTCAAGCAATTCATGAGGCTGATTTAAATGCGGCGACATCGTTTATGGATGTTTTGGGGCAAATGGTTTCGGTCTCTGGTGATCCAGCCCAGAGGTTGGGAGCTTACTTGTTGGAAGGGCTCAGAGCGAGGTTGGAGCGATCTGGAAGTGCAATATACAAGGCCCTAAAGTGCGAAGAGCCGTCAAGCTCTGAACTTATGTCCTATATGTCTATTCTATTCCAGATATGCCCATACTTCAAATTTGCTTACACATCTGCAAATGCTTTCATTTGGGAGGCTATGGTAAATGAACCCGTAATCCACATCATTGATTTTCAAATTGCACAGGGTAGTCAGTATATACCTCTCATTGAGGATCTTGCCAGTCGACCTGGTGGACCCCCAGTTCTTCGCATTACGGGTGTGGATGATTCCCAATCAGCTCATGCTCGGGGAGGGGGACTTCAAATTGTGGGACAGAAGCTAGCTCTACTGGCTCAGTCTAAAGGAATTCCCTTCCAATTTCATGCTGCTGCAATGTCTGGTTGCAAGGTCGAGCACAGTGATCTTAGAATACGACCTGAAGAAGCCTTGGCTGTAAATTTTCCATATGCCTTGCACCACATGCCAGATGAGAGCGTGAGCACACAGAACCATCGAGATCGTCTTCTAAGGCTGGTTAAGAGTCTATCACCGAAGGTAGTAACTATTGTTGAGCAGGAATCCAACACCAACACATCCCCGTTCTTTTTACGTTTTATAGAGACGCTGGACTATTATACTGCTATGTTCGAGTCAATAGACGTAGCTCGTTCAAGAGACGACAAGCAACGAATCAGGGCAGAGCAGCACTGTGTTGCCCGAGACATAGTGAACATGGTAGCATGTGAGGGATTTGAAAGAGTAGAACGTCATGAACTCCATGGGAAGTGGATGATGAGAATGAAAATGGCTGGCTTTACTCAATATCCAATGAGCTCCTCTGTAACTGGAGCCGTCAAGAATTTGTTGAGGGATTACAACGAGAACTACAGACTCCTAGAAGCGGAAGGAGCTCTCAACCTTGGCTGGAAAAACCGAGCAATGGCAACCTCCTCGGCATGGAGATGATATCCAGAAACTGTGAATCCAATTGCTTATTAGATAGATGGTGGAAAATACCTCTCTCGAGCTCTTTCTTTACAACATTTTAGAGCATTGAACGATGATGACCCCTTTAGATTTATAGAGAATGTGAGGTCTTCAACGCTCTTACTGTTTGTAGAACAGAGAGACAGGAACCCAAATCATCGAACTTGCTGTAAATTTTCAAACGTTGGTGAAAGAATTTTGTCCTCGAGTCTTTACCTGCTTTGTCGTTTGGAAACCCGCATTATAATTATCTGCTTAGATTAATAATTCAAAGCAAGTCAAAATAAATAAATAAATATATATATATAAAGAAATAATTAAAACCATTTTTATCATCATTTTGAGCACTCTTTTAATGTAGCCCAAGCAAGCGCTACTTTACTTTGCACCCGGGCGTTACCGTACCGCCAATGGCGATTATTTGCAAATTGGACTTTTCGTCTCCCAGCCGCCACAGCTTCTCTTCTTCGTATCGCCGTCTTCCCTTCGAATGTCCCATCTGAAGCCTCCCCTGTTCTGTTTCTTCGAAATGCTGGAATGCGCCTCTGTGGTCGGTCTTCTTCTTCCGGCGTCATTCATCTGTTCACCAAGTCGATTGTAGCCGGCGCAACCGCGACCATTCGTCGTCGGCATAAATCTGAATACGCCAACGACAGGTTTTCAGCTTTCCTTATTCATTTCCTCTTAATTCTTTCTTATACATGCCTGTTATGTATAATTTTATATGCTGCCCTAAGAATTCTGCTGTTCGACACTTAAAAGTATCTCCTGCTTGATCAAATTTAATCGCAAACCTTCTTTTCATTTTTAGGGTTTTGGGTTTTTAGGGTTTTAATCTATCCTTAGAAACTTCCAGGTCTCAGGTGAAGCCACATCAGAAAGATTCCTCCTCCTGGGATAGAACCTTTAGGAGCCTATGTATAACGGGGAGATTGTCCGAAGCCGTTGCACTTTTGTGCAGTATGCCTTTCCAATTTCACTCCAAAACTTACTGCCTTCTGTTACAAGAATGCATTTTCAGGAAAGAGTATATGAAAGGAAAAAGAATCCATGCTCAAATGGTTGTTGTTGGACATTTACCCAATGAGTATCTCAAAACCAAACTGCTGATATTATATGCCAAATTAGGTGATTTAGAAACTGCATATATTCTTCATGAGAAGTTGCTGGATAACAGTCTGGTTTCATGGAATGCATTGATTGCTGGATGTGTACAAAAAGGGCTTGGAGAAGTTGGATTGGAGCTTTACTTTAAAATGAGACGAACTGGTTTAATACCTGATCAATATACCTTTGCATCAGTTATCAGAGCCTGTGCTAGCTTAGCTTCTTTGGAACATGGAAAGAGAGCTCATGGAGTTCTGATTAAGTGTCAAATCGGCGACAATGTTGTCGTGTCTAGTGCCCTTGTAGATATGTACTTCAAATGCAGTAGCATATCAGATGGTCATAAGGTATTTGACAAATCTTCAACTAGGAATGTGATTACATGGACTGCTTTAATATCAGGGTATGGCCACCATGGAAGAGTTTCTGAAGTTTTGGAATCCTTCAATAGTATGATAAATGAAGGTTACCGACCGAATTATGTTACTTTCCTTGCGGTTCTTACTGCTTGTGGTCATGGGGGTTTTGTATCGGAAGCATGGCGATACTTGTCCTTGATGAAGACGACGTATGAAATAGAACCAAGAGGGCAACATTATGCTGCCATGGCGGATCTTCTCGCAAGAGCTGGGAGGTTGCAAGAGGCATATGATTTTGTTGTCGATGCACCTTGCAAGGAGCACTCTGTTATATGGGGTGCTTTGGTCGGGGGTTGTAAGGTTCACGAAGACATAGATTTGATGAAACATGCAGCAGCACATTACTTGGCATTGGATGCTAGCAACGCTGGGAAGTATGTGGTTTTAGCAAATGGGTTTGCGGCGTCTGGCTTGTGGGATAATGTTGCGGAGATTAGATGTATGATGAAGAAATCAGGAATGAATAAGGAACCTGGTTACAGCAGAATTGAGATTCAAAGGGAGTTTCACTTTTTTGTTAAAAGTGATAAATCTCACAAACAGGCTGTTGAGATTTATAGAACCATTCACAGCATCACTCCGATCTTAAAGGATGCAGGCTCTATTCCTGAACTAAGTGAAAACTAATTGTAGAAAGTGTGTTCTGATAATCCATTCACAGCATCACTCTGAATCTTTTGGCATATCCGTCTATTAGGACATCCATTCATATGATCAAGCTAGGGTTAGATTTTGTTCTTGAATTTATGTTTAGGAGAGACAATTCTTTTTGTAAGGTCGATCCAACGAAATAGAATTATAACTGGATTACAATATAGGATCATTCTGTTGCTAAAAGGAGTTGGGAAGATACCTTTTAGGATGTCATTGGTAGTACTACAGAACTTGTATACTAACCAGCCGCGCTTTTAGGAAAGGAACAGAGTTTTGTGGCTAAAACAATGATTTTTCTCTCGTAATATGGATTAAATTCAATAATTGTTCATTGAGTTGACATGTTTCAACAATTGACAATGATCATAATGAACTTGGATGAAGATAAGAAGCAAATAAGAGTAAAAGTTTGAATTTGAGTATCTGTTCTGAGAGATATACATCAGGTAAAGCCTGGTAATTATGATAAGAAACATCCATTGAAGTCAGCTTTCGTAAGCGGAAGAAGATCGAGGATACCCAGATCACAACCACATCCCAAAAACATGTCATGACGATGAAGAACAAAACTTGTCCATTCTTCCAAGAGATTTCTAATCTGCAAAAGAAAATGAAAACAAAGAAATCCCAGCAACATTTAACAGAGAAAATTTCATGGCCAAATTGGATGCCTCGGAATAGCGGATTAACAGCAAGGCTTAGAAAAAGCTATTCAGTCCCGAAAGATGGTATTTTGTTAAGCGATATCGTCATTGGCATTGGCAATTGGGCATGAAGATTTTAAAGAAAAATCTAAGAATGTTGGTCTCATGGCCAGTCCCAAATGGTAAAGGCAGCAACGCTGCTCCACAAGGCAATGGAATATGATACCACCAGTCGACGGAAGCTCCAAAGAGGAGCCATCAACGTCAACTGAAATTCCTTTGTGACGTTAACTTTGGCACTATACAAACATCAATAAGTTCGCTCCAAATCAAGTAAGGGATTGGATCATAAATCCCCCGCCACACACAATGAGTTAAACAACGCCATGAATCAAAATTGAAACAGAAATTCCAGTGACGAAAAAAATAATTGAATGTCTCAAGGCCAATCCCAGATAGTAACGGCAATGACGATGGAATATGAAACCATCCATTACGGAGGATCTCCTTGAAAAGGAAAGCCAGTCTGCTTCCTCCGAGTAAAAATCTTGCTCGAAGTAGTTCCCCATCGCATTAAAACCCACAAACACAAACTTTCAAAGAAAAAATAAGAATCATCTAAATCGAACAACATAAACAAAGCACATATATCAGAAAGGAGCATCTAAAAAGAAACTAACAAATTATTCTTATGAACAGAGAGAAGAGAATTTAACTCAGAGCTCGCAAGAGGACCAGGGCGGAGCTATGAATGTTCTTGAGAGAAAGTGCGGTCTATGGTGAGAATATAAAGAAGACGCTGAAATTGTAAACCGTTGGATTTTTATACAAACAAATCCCAGCCCTTAGATTTAGAATTGTCTAGGGCTACGCAGTTTCAAGTGCAGGGGTATAATCGTCCATCCGAGTTAAAACATTTTAAATTAAATTAATAAAAATATATCATTTTTTTCCCTCACGAGTTAGGGGTATGCATTCAATTTAGAGTAGGTTTTAGGCTTTTACCTTCTCCGACCAATTTCTCCTCATTCATCATAATCCAGAAAATCTAGAATAATTAAAATAAGGAAAATGCAAATTAGGAATTGGAATATAAATTAATAACAAATTCAAAATAACAGAATTAAACCAGGAAAAATAAAAAGCAGAAGAGTGGAATAACCAGATATTGGTGGGTGGAAGGAAGTTTATGAAGATGGGTTGGTGTGGGCGACATCCATTGTCCTCTCCGACGAAGAAGGGAAGTTTGAAATGCCGGCAGTTCAAAACACGAACTTCCGACCATGAATTTATATATTCTATCTTGAGTGATTTTAAAATAGAAAACAGACCCATCAAAAGCGATTAGCCTCACGTAACTACTTCCATCGCTATTATTAGCTTCCTATTTATATATATGTTCTTATTACCTCTGCTTTCCAAGAACACCCACTTCTACTCTCTGCTTCTTCTGCTGTGTTTAACCCCAAACTCACACGAATTATTGGTATGATTCATTTTCTCTGTCTCTCTTCTTGCTGCCTAACTTATCTTATTGGATTGGATAGCTCTGACTGTGTTTCCATATTGAGATATAACCAAGTTCATACGAAGCTTGTTGAGTGAATCGATAAAATCATGGGACAGAGTGGATCAGAAAACGCCCATGCATTTAATTGTAAGCTGCTGAAATAGAATGTACAATCAGAGAGTGATGACTTTTTATGGATTTTATGGTCTATAAGAACACAATTGGTTGAATATTAGATGATATTGATTTGATTTTCGTTTGTTTGTTTAACGGCTGCAAAGAACTCGATTTATTCCCGTGCAGGCTGTTTTTGAAAATATTAAGGTTCCCCCATCTGTTATTACGAACCTCTGGAGTCAGTAGGGACTCTTGAAGAGATCGAGTCAAAATGGTGGAAGGAGGTGCTGCAAAGGCAGACAAGGCAGAGTGTTTAGAGTGTTGGCAAACAACATGGAAGACACCTTACATTATGCGCCTTGCTCTGTCTGCTGGGATCGGTGGTCTCCTTTTCGGATACGATACTGGTAATTCCCGACCTTGACATGATGTAGTTCAATGATGTTATTTACCATTTGATTGCAATGCATCGCAGGTGTGATCTCTGGGGCTATGCTCTACATCAGAGAGGACTTTGAAGTTGTTGATAGGAAAACATGGCTACAGGCAAGTTATCTGGTTTTATGTCTCTTTTAGTAATGTGAGACCCACCTTGGTTGGAGAGGAGAACTGGAAACCTCTCTCTACCAAGCGTGTTTTAAAATGTGTGTTTTAAAATGTGAGGCTGACGGCAAATACGTAACGGGCCAAAGCGAACAATATTTGATAACGGTGTGCTTGAGCTGTTACATGTACTTATTCTCACCCAAACATGCACAGGAAACCATTGTAAGTATGGCTGTAGCAGGTGCTATCGTGGGTGCTGCAATAGGTGGCTGGATGAATGACAAATTTGGACGAAAAAAGGCGATTATAGTCGCTGATGTAGTGTTCTTCCTTGGTGCAATTGTCATGGCTGTTGCTCCTTTTCCCGGTTTCATTATCGTCGGGAGACTTATAGTTGGGTTCGGGGTCGGAATGGCGTCCATGACAGCTCCTCTTTACATATCAGAAGCTTCCCCTGCTAGAATTAGGGGTGCTCTTGTTAGCACTAATGGCTTGCTAATTACAGGAGGGCAATTCCTTTCCTATTTAATCAACCTGGCCTTCACTAAGGTAAAATGTATCTTCTTTTTTTGATTTTTGTGTTCTAAGTTCAAACTTGAGTTCTTATGAGTCTGTGTTGCAGACCAAGTTAACATGGCGTCTGATGCTTGGAGTAGCAGGAGTGCCACCTCTGGTTCAGTTTGTTTTGATGTTATCGCTGCCTGAGTCTCCTAGGTGGCTTTACAGACGGGTTAACTTTTTAAAATGCTACCATTTTTTCCTCAAACAAGAGTAGCAGTAGACTGTTCAACTTACTGATCGCATTTATGGTGATGAACAGGATAAAGTAGATGAAGCAAGAGCCATACTGGAGAAAATCTATCCAGCTGATCAAGTTGAGGATGAGATGAGACTGTTGCATGAATCTGTGGAGACTGAAAAGGCAGAAGAAGGAGCTATTGGAGATGGCAGTATCATAGCCAAAGTGAAAGGTGCTTTGAGCAACCAAATCGTCCGAAGAGGGCTCTACGCCGGGATCATGGTGCAAGTAGCTCAGCAGTTCTGTGGTATCAACACTGTCATGTACTACAGCCCAACCATCATCCAGTTTGCTGGATATGCTTCCAATACGACAGCCATGGCGCTTTCTCTCGTTACTTCCTTTCTCAACGCTGCTGGCTCCGTTGTTAGCATGGTATCGGTTGACAGATATGGTAGAAGACGTCTTATGCTCATCTCGATGATAGGGATTATCACCTGCCTTGTGGTGTTGGCTGGAGTGTTCTTCCAATCTGCTCATCACTCTCCGCCCGTCAACGCCTTGGAATCTTCTCACTTCGGAAGCAACTCCACTTGTTCAGCTTATGCCTCAGCTCCAGATGCATCTTCATGGAATTGCATGTCATGTTTGAAGCAACAATGTGGCTTCTGTGCCAATGGAGATAGTGAGGTGAACGCCTGCTTCTTTATTACTTTAAATTCTTCATTCCAGTGACAGTAACAAATTAACAGCCATATGTTGAATGATACTGATTATCAGTATCTTCCTGGAGCATGCTTGGATTTGACAAAGGATGTGAGGAGTTCATGTCGGTCGAAGCACCGAGTATGGTTCACGGAAGGCTGCCCGAGCAAAATAGGGTTCTTGGCTGTGGTGGTGATGGGGCTTTACATCATTTCATACGCACCTGGAATGGGAACAGTTCCCTGGGTGTTGAACTCTGAAATTTACCCACTCAGATACAGAGGAACCGGAGGAGGAATCGCTGCAGTTTCAAACTGGATTTCGAATCTGATTGTGAGTCAGACATTTTTGACATTGGTGGAAGCTCTTGGGGCCGCTGGTACATTCCTGCTGTTCGCAGGATTCTCATTTCTTGGACTCATTGGTATCTATTTCTTGGTACCTGAAACTAAAGGGCTGCAATTCGAAGAGGTTGAAGAGCTCCTCAGGCAAGGGAAGAAATATAAGAGCAGCAGAGACCAGAGGGAAGTTTCTGCACAATAATCCTTCAGAATTGACGCGAACTTTGATTTATAACTAACTAAATGTTTCTTTTGGTGTTCCTTGTGAGAAACTTTTAATAAGTTGGAATAAATTATGGTTTGTGTGTGTTCTTGTTACTGGTTTTTGGTTGAATTTGTGTTTATAAAGACTCTGATGCTCACATTTGAGATTAAGCCCAACAACAACTAATTAAGAACTGATTAATAAAGGCATTAAACTAGGCTAATTAACTAACATTTTGTCCTACAACAGTTCATATGCATCCCGACTCCAGTTTCACCCTGGAAAACAACCGAGGTTCATTATTGTTTTACTCTGGATGAAAGAGTTTGGAAGGGTACCCCTTCAGCTGAAGGACGCCGACACTCGGGTCATGTAGAAAAAACATACCTGCTGCTCTGCCCGCTAATAATTCACTCCTAAACGACAAGAGGCAGTAAGAGACTTAAACCCTACAAAATATTTTTAAATCTATGGTGGGGCATCCCACAGAGCACAGCTTGTGGCCTTCGACAGAGATGATGGGTTTATGTTCATGAAAATTCAAAGCCATGCCAATTTACCCATCTCATCCATTTCTTTAATCATCTTGAATGCACAAACAATCCATTTTCCTTCCCTCCGCCTAATTTCTCAAACTTCTCTACTACTTTTGACATACATAAGGCAGATTTTTCTCCTATTGTTTTTATCCATTATGTCGTATGAACTTCCCAAGCTTTTCAGACCACTGAACACAAGCGAAGTTTCAAGCAAAATCCATGAGAAGGACAAGCAGAGATATTAACTTGTGTTCAGTATACAACACAGTGAAGAAGAATGCAAAAATTTGTGCAATTCCCAGCTTAAAGATGTAAAACAAGAAGATGAGTTCCACAGAATTTGGGTTCACCCATACAAGACAAGACACATGCAACCCAATCAGAATTTCATCAAATCCCCAAACACAGAAAACCAAACCAAGTGATATTCCACTATTAGCAAAATGGAAAAGTATAGGATATCCCAGAACCTAGTTAACAATCATACATCTTCTTCTCTAACCGTCAGTTTTTGGCTTTACTAACTGCACTACTAACACTACTTCCTTCTACAATCACAATTCCTCCAACATTCTCTCTCAACCACGCTGTACAAAAACAAAAACAAAAACCACTCCCTATATACAGCAACCACGAAACCACTACTTAATAATACAATTACCTTCTAAGAAAAACCCATCTAAAGCCTTCTGTTTTTAAGGACTTGATGAGGATGCTTCATGTCTTGGTTCTCTTAAGTATCCCAGAAGCGTTTCCGCCTGCAAAAATGAGCAAATTTGCATCAACGAGCTGTTCATTTCATAGAATCAGTTAAAGAGTTCGTGAAATAATTGGAGACTCTGACTAATCGGTTTAGGGTAATCACCTTGTGCTTTGCTCGAACGCTTCCAGTCTGAGAAAGTGCAACCAGAGGTGGAATTCCACCTTCCCTTACGAGCAACCCTCTATTTCTCACACTGTCAACACACAATTGCAAGAGTGTTAATACCGCGAACTCTTTTCCTTTCACTGACCCATCTTCAATTGCTTCCACAAGCGCAGCAATTCCACCCTCTTCTACAATCGCATCCTTCCCCTCTTGAATCCCAGCTAGGATACTCAGAACCACCATCGCTTTCTCTGCCAAACCCGTCCCTTGCTCCGCTACCAGCGCCACCAATGGCTTCACAGCTCCGGCGGTAACAGTCCGCTCCTTGTTCGGCTTGATGGAGCAAAGCTTGTAGAGCGTCGTGAGCGCGTCCTTTTTCCCCCTATTCGATCCATTCAACAGTAAAGATACCAGTGGTGGGATGGCCCCGCAAACCCCAATCGAAGTCTTGTTCTCCTCCAACAGAGCGAGGCTCATCAGAGCACATGCCGCATTCTGTTTGGAAGTTTCGGTGCCGGTTTTGAGCACATAAACCAGTGACTTAATGGCTCCAGCGTTCGTGATGATTACCTTGTTAGACTCATGGAGTGAGAGATTCAGCAGGGCGGTTACAGCGTGTTCTTGTGTCCATGGATCGGTAGATCGAAGTAGAGGAATTAAAGCAGGAACGGCGCCGGATTCCCCAATGAGTACCCGATTGTCTGACCGGTTCTTCGCCAGAAGCCTCAGCTTAGCCGCCGCAGATCGCTTCACAGCAACTGATGATGACTGAAGCCCGTCGATGCAGATCTTGACAGTCGGCTGCAGATCTTCGGGCGAGATACTCTCAATAATCTCAGTGGAGAAATTCTCCCTCTGCAGAAACCCTAAACATGGCTCAGGCTCAGTCTCAGCATCTCCACCTTCTCTTTTAGAAACAACCGCCATGGACGGTAGGCTCGCAAGTCTCTGCAACTCACCCGAAATATCACTGCTACAAGCAGAAAAATCACTGAAAGCATGAGAAAGTTCAAGAAAATCCTCTTCCTGTTCAGATGATTGGCTAGCCCACTTAGGGCTGCGCGATGCCAACTCGCCAAGCCTGATGTCGATGACAGAATCAGTGAGATTCTCAGAGACGCAGCCTGATTTCCCGGCCACCGACCCATTAAACGTACAACTATTATCATCTTGAAAGAAATTGGAACGAATAGTTCGCATAGAACGGCCAATGTTCCTACTAATTTTACTGGAAGTTGTAGAAGACGGACTGTAACAATTCCTCCCCAAAGGAAACCGATTAGAACTCGAATGAGAATCCTCAATCGACACCATTTCCAAAAGCGGAAAGAAAAACCTCTGTTCAAAAACCCCAAAATTCAACTTACAGAAAGGACTGCGAAAATTTGAGTCTGTTTCTCAGGAAAATTTCATGGCCGGAAAAGTAAAGAAAGAGAGAGAGAAAGAAAGGAATCTGATGGCGGAACGGAACAGGTATTTTTGCTTTGTGTGTGTGTTGTTGTTGTCGTTGTTGAGCGCCTTTACTCAAGCTTCGGCATCTGGGTTTCGATAGAGCTACAAGGCCTTGTATGGTTCTAATCGTCACAGCCCATTTTAATAACCGAAACTTGGGGCCCGACTTATCTGATCAGACTCATCTCGGCCATCCATTTGTGCAGGGACGAGGGTTTGATGTGACAACGGTCACAGCTCCGTGGCGCCTGCTTTCGTCTTTGGCTTAGACAGCTCTCTTGTGGGGTATGGATTCCCTCGGTGGGACCGCCGGCAAGTCAGCATCGTTTCAGCTCCCGAATTACAAATATGCCCTTCCTAATATTAGTTTGCTTAAATTATTAGTTTTAAGTCCGTGGCTTTTATGTCATTCCATTTAAGAAAATATTTAACTACCCAATTTTGTGTTCAACGTATTCTTCCTTCCACATTCAATTTTATCAACAAAAAAAAAAAAAACTCATTCATGGATTTAATAAATATAAAATTAAAATTTTATGATTGGTTTATATACATTCATTTGAAATTCTCTAAATTATTTAAAACGAAAAATCTTAATTGATTAATATTAGATAAATTGAACCGAATAATAATGTCCATATTTAATAATTGTTGATGTATTACTAATCTACAATTTTTTATGTCAATTAATCGAAAAATATTTATTATTAATAGAAGTAGAAACCATATAGGCAAATAACTGTCTATGAAATTATGAAGTGTCGTGTCCATCACAGGTGAAAAGACAATTTATAAATAATAAAAATAAATAATGGATGTGTAAAATTGAAATTATATATACATATATATATATATATTCAAAATTTCAAATAGACGCGTACGAATTTAAAATAAAATTTGCGTGATATATTTGTTATCCTTTTGTACAATTTATTTATTATTATTATTATTTATGACCTGCGAGAGAGCTACGGCTACGGTGAGGGTGCGGGATCCACACAGTATGTGTGTGGGTATTACGTGGCAGAATCGCGTATGGGGGCTCACGACAATTGTCAGCATACAGCTGTAACTTTAGTGGTGAAAATAACACGTGTTGGCTCAACATTACGCCGTACCGGATCCACGACCACGCTTCGTTTGTGTACTCTTCCATTTTTATTTTAATTTTTTTAACAGGCTCACGTGCCGTGGAGTGGCTGTGCACACGTGCCTGGCGGCGGAAGGAATTTTCCAAAGTCAATACTACGATTTGGTCCTCAAATTGCTCGTTCACCACCGGCTTTAATATCGGCAAATAAAAATTCCAAATAAATAAATAAATAAATCAAATTTTAACTACTCATTACGTGAGAAAAGGGGAGTTGTTGCAAATCATTAAATACATATTTTTATCAAAATTACTTATATAAACTTTTTTTTAGAAAATATATTAAAATAGAAAATAGATGGTTAAATGAGGAGGGCCGGTTTCCCAACAAAGGGCAGGCATGATGTATCCTCCATTAAATTAATTCCCATTTACGCTAAAAAAAAAATAAAAAATAAAAAAAAATCAATAAAATCCTTTTTAAAAAAATAAAGATCTCCCAGGCATTAATATTAACTATAGAGGTTAGGTGGGAGATTGTTTCCCCAAAAAAGGTACACACAAACAAGACTAATATATTAATTTTCATGACGTTAAGAGAGGAAAATAAAAATAAAAATAAAATAAAATGGTTGGTGATATTGATTTCTTAGCCCGCACACTTCCAAGGTGATGATACAACCAATGGGGCATTAAATATAAATTGTGTCCGTTTCAGATTAAGTGCCGAAAACAATAGTTATTATAAAATTAAGTAGTTTTAATTTAATTTATGGTAATGGGCCAACATGCTTAGCTGTCAATCACCCTAATTGCACTTTGATTAGACACTTGTGTAATTAATAAACATTTAAATTATTAGATTATAATTTGATTTGCGCCCATTTTTGGATTCCATACGTCGTATCTGATTTTTCAACCTTTATTTATCAATACTTTTTAATTTTTAATTATAATACGGAAGAACGTAGGTTTATCCTTATCTTATTGATTACGATAACAATTAAAAAAAAGAAAAAAACATATGTATTAGATTTTGATTTTAAAAAAATGTAAACATTTAAACCATGGTTAAATTTTTTAATTATTTTGTTTGATTACTTTTTAACAGTTGAACGACGTTAAGGTTTGGTAGGGAAAGGAGGATTAATATAATTAAATGTGTGGCTCCAAAAGTCTTGGGTTTGTTCAATGCCACTTCGGAACTTTAGCTCAATTTTTTTGGTTCTAGATCTTTCAATGCTTCTAGAAACCATTGATGGGTCTGGTAAATTTTGAAAACTTTATATAAATAATTAATAGATTTATATAAATGTTTTTTTTTTATTTTTATTTTATTAATGGAGATCATAAAAATACGAACACGAGCAATAATGTTTTGTTTTTATTTTTTACTAAAAGAATATAGATAAAGAAGACAAACAAAGAAAAAGGCAATTTCAAAAAGTGGATCTCTTTTAAAATAAAATAAATCAAAAGACGAGACATGAAAACAAACTTAGTCCAATGAAACTTTTTATTTTCTTTTTATTTCTTTAAATATAAAATAAAAAAACAATGGCACTTAAAAAATCAACACTAGGATTAAGATAGTAAACCACA